AACGAACGACCTTTGTGTTTTCTCTGGTTTTCGAGTTTAGCCTTTGTATTCTTATTACTGGTCAAAAACCTGTAAAAGTTATACTGTTAGAATCATCTTCTCGAAACGATCAAGCAGTATACCTTATATTTCGATTTCTGCGATTTTTTGTTTTTAAAGATCTTGATAGTAAGATCCCGAGATCAAGTTTTCTCCAGGTGTTTCATAGGATTTTGAATTGAAATTTTTACAAGAGGATCTCGAGATCATTGGCTCTACAGAACAACTTTTACTTTTTCAAAACTCAAAGTTTTTAATTTTGAAGATCTCGAGATTTAGGATCTCGATACTCTATTTTTCGCTGTTAGGAATGATCTCGATGTTTTGAAGATTTTGAAATCTTAAGAATTTCTTGATGTTTTTAATCTATCAAAGTTTAGAGTTTCTTGAATCTCAGAATTTTTCGAAGCTTGACATTCTTCACAGTTCATCGAAACTTTACATTATAGGATTTTTTGATGATTCCCTGTTGTTCAAAGTTTTAAAGAAGTTTTCGATGTTCTGATGTTTTTCAAACAACAAGTTTTCGATATTCTGAGGTTTTCGAAACTCCGAAGTTTTCAATGTTCCAAACATTTTGAAATTCTGAAGATTTCGAAGTCTCGAGGTTTTATTTTGCAGGTGGATTTCTTCATTACTCTTCGAGGCAAACTCGAGATTAAGATCTCAACGTTTAAACCTCGAGATTAAGATCTCGAAGTTTAAACCTCGAGATTAAGATCTCGAAGTTTAAACCTCGAGATCTTGATCTCGAAGTTTAAACCTCGAGATCTTGATCTCGAAGTTTAAACCTCGAGATCTTGATCTCGATGTTTAAATCTCGAGATCTTGATCTCGATGTTTAAACCTCGAGATCTTGATCTCAAAGTTTAAACTTCGAGATTGGGATCTCGAGGTTTTTCCTTAGAATTTGTTTTAATTCCACCTGTTCTCGATATTCAACATTGAGAACCTCAACTTCGAAGAAATTCCTCAAAAACTCAAAATTTCGAGATTTTCAGCGACATCACATTGTTTTGGCCATAACTTTTAACTCGGAGATCCGATTTAAGCGAATCATACCTTGTTGGAAAGCTAACGAAAAGATCTACATGCATTCCGGGGGTTTACCCCAGAAACCCCAACCACACGATCTCACTCGCCGTTCTTGAGGGAGATTTCGTTAGCTTTCCGAGGTACATTGTCAATCACCGATGTCCAGGTCAAAACTTAGGCAAATCTGTTCAAATTCTTCCATAGTCAAACCTAAGGTCAAAGCTTTTCTAAACTACACCATAGAGGTCCGGAAATCATAGATAATTGAATCAACCTCGCGTCAACGATCATCTTACAACAATCAACAATCAACCACTGAAGTCTCCCCTAACTCATCAACATTGTGTGATCATCAATATGCTGAAATTCTACATGATGAGCTTAGGGAAAACCATCATGTGTGGTACCTGTTCAGATTGCTCCACACACGTGGCGGGTATGACAAGCTGGGAGCAATCAAACCTTGCACATTCTGAGGGGGAATTTCAGTTTTCTCCTCCTGGCGCCTTACACCGACAAAGCAAGGAATCTCTCAAAGGATGTAACATTTTAGGGGGAGTGTTCAAGGTTCTCCCCGGTGCCTAACATTGACAAAAGCATACCGAGTGCTCCAGTTGAGGGGGAGCACAGAGAGAAAATCAAGGAACAAATGAGTGAACATGTCCCTACAGCTTAGTAAACCCAACTAAGCTTACCCAAGGGACAAAGTCGAGAGTAAGTGAGTGAGTGAGTGAGTGAGTGAGTGAACATTATGAGCGTTAGGAAGCAGAAGGCTCGAGTGAGCAAGAAAAACAATTCAATGATAAGTCTGTTACCTCAACTGCATGCTATCCATTCAACATTTACTCTTAGCCACTCAAATACTCTGGACAATCCCCATAGGTTCAGGACTAATTTAATCAGATCCTGGCTAGAAGTCACTGCATCTTGTCCAACAGTGCATTTGTAACCCTACCCAAGACCACTCATTTGTCTCCCAACAGACAGGTGTTTAATCATATTTCACGGGGAACCATGTCTCTCATTATTGTCTCCTTCCGAGACAAGTCATACTGACTACAGTGGCCTCAGCCCCATGCCACTGAACTTTCATTGATCACGTCATGTCTAGTTACCTCACTCCCAAATGTTTTGAATTTTCTAGGACACAGACGCACTTTTAGAGTCAGTTGCAGGTCTTCATGACACACGAGAACTTCCATAGGGCTCATCTATTACAGATTAGACCAATGATTGGAAGGAAGTCTTGCTGTTGTAACATAAGAACCACCAACATTTTCAGGTCATTGCTTTAGAGTTTATCTCTATAGTGATGATAACGAGTGTCTACATGACCTCGGGGGGCTACGTCTTTCTCAATGCTGATCTTTATGATCATGTAAATAACAACCAGAGTGACATCTATTCAAATGATTCACAATAACTGGTTGGAGGTCCTGTTAGAGCTTTAATGTTTCTATCATTCTATACAGGCCACACATCGATGTTCACATTGATGATGTGATAACGGAACACCGCAGTGTTTCCGGTTTTTTCCCTATAACTTTATGTTTGTTTTTTCTGTTTTATTTCCCTGTTCGAATAAAATAATAAAGGCATGACGCCCCGATTCATCAGATCATCATGAGGGGGAGAGAGTGGTCCACATGCTTTTAACTCTCAACAAATCATTCTCGGACACTTCTCTCCTCCAACACTTCTACTATCTCTATCAAAAGGTTCGAATCAAATGGACAACTACGCTCACAAGTCAACCATCATTTTCCGCTGTGCCACCGACAAGGTCTCCTCAAACGCATTCACTTCAAATAGTCAAAAAGACTACATTGTGGAGGAGACAGAGGTCAAATACTCGTGTACTGAAGATGAATCCCGTGCGCACCTGAAAATTATCAGAACATTCATTCTATAGGCGCCTTTGGACTTCATTCAAGCTGATCAAGAGCTACTTCTAGAAGGCAACGATTACAAGCGAAAGATTCCTCAACTCCCAGCATCAAAGATCATATTGAAAAGAAGACATCAAAGGGGAGATTGCAAGGATTTCTTCATAAAGCCTTCTCAAGAAGTCAAGTTCAAAGACAAAGGAAGCTGAATAACAACAAAGACAAAGATATTTGCGCTGCAATGCTGATTTAACACGATTGAACACCAAGGGGGAGATTGTTGGGAATATTTTATGATGTCCAATCTAATTAAATATCTTTGCATTTGTGTAGTTATTAATTAAATGTGTAATATGTGCCAAAAATGTATATCAACCCATTAGCTTCTTTGTAATCCATAAGTTAGCCAACTTTCATATAAAAGGAAACTAACTTATGGAAAACCTAAGAAAAATAAGGCAGAGTATAGAGGCGAGATAGAGAGATTGTTTCACGCTGCTCTCTCTCTCTCTCTCTCTCTCGAGGGAGAGCAACGGCAGTTCACGGTATACCAGATTCGTTGTTCATCTCGATATCTTTCTATTTGCTTCTTCTTCACCTCTTATGATTGTTTGATTGTTACAAATTGGGTCTTCACCTCTTATACCCTTTGACTTTTATGGGGAATTAATGATATCCACTCAAATATAAAAAGTGAGTGAGTCGTGAAGGGTAGTTAAGACAATTAATGTAAAAAAAGTTGCCTAAAACGGAAACGTAAAAGAGTAAATGGGACGTCCAAAAAAGTAAAATGTAAAAATTTAAATGGGATGGGGGAATACTATTTAAAACACGGGCACCACATTAATTTTTTTAAAATGCACCGATTTTTTGTAAATAAACAAATTAGACGATATTTTTGTTTGCAAACTACTATATGCACATCCCATCGTATTAATAGTGACAACCAAATTACAGTTCTTTTTTAATGCCTTTACATATAACGAGGGCCAAATTTAATAAATAATGTATTGTTTTCGTTCCTTCAAATTTTGTCATCTTTGATTTTTTGGTCTATCATGTTCAAATTTAACCAATTATATATTTTTATAAAAAATTATTTATAATATAAAATTATATAAAAAATGTTCCTTGTTAAAACTACTTTAATAAAGGTATGAAACTTATCCCTTTAATAATATTATACTAATCAAAATCATGATTGAAACTTTACTATCATTGATTTGAAAAGTCAGAGATGGCAAATTTTTTAGCGACGGAGGTAGTATATTGCGAAAAAAGTCAAAATGGAGTAAAATAATACTCCCTCCGTCCCCCTAATATTGGTACGGAAGGGAGTGGTGTGATTTTTAAGAAAAGTAAAATTATGTGGTTGGTAATGAGTTGATAAAGTGGAAATAAAGTAAGAATGAATTAGAGTCACACAAATGTTAACAAATATGGTATGAAACAATAATAAAGGGACATCCAAAAATGGAAAAATGAGACAATTATAGGGGACGGAGGGAGTAACAATTTAACAAAATCTATTTTCAGGTATAAAACAACATCTATTGCAACATAAATGTCAAAGAAAAGAAATAAATATTACAGAACCAAGAATTCGGTTACCTTAAATAAAAATAGATACCGAACCAAAATTGGCTCGGTTGTCGAAATGTGTTGTCCAAATGTTTAGTACCAATTTTCATATCAACTTCTCGAAAACCAAAGAAACCCGATTTTCTTTGACTATAGCCTATGCTCTGTAATAAAAATTGAACTAATTTTTTCTTGCCAATCCCAATGAATTGAACTTATTAATTTTTGAGACTATTGTTCAGAAACCCAATGAATTGAATAGATAATTTTTAGGTTAGTATTCAAATTAAACACTCAAAAAATTTTAGGGAAAAAATGAATTTTTTAAAGCACCATGCTCTCCCAGTAAAAAATTATGAGTAAAACTTTTCTCCCAACACGGAAAACTCGAGATGTACGACTGCTCTTCTGCTAGATATTCTCTACAAATGCATTGACAACAAGAGCACAACACTAAACGAGATAAACGCAAAAAGGGCAGTTCCACTGGCTGCCATATAATCTCAGGGTCCCCACACAATTGGTCAAGGTATGTTTACAATCAACTCCAGGAATATGTCAACAAATCACATGAAGAGAGAAGAGAAGACCATACCTTCCCATGTGTAGGAATGTAGGATATGGATTTCTAATTGGGGAGCTTCTGAAGAAGAAGGGGATTCTGGGAGCCATTAAGGAACCATCAAATTGGAGGAAAATCCTCTTCCAAACCTCAAAAGTGGGAGCCCCAGAAATACAAGCAGGAATAGAAGTCCCCTCCAACGAGCTTCTCCGAACAGCCCTCAACAAGATCAAAACTAAAACGACTAAGAGACTACGATCAAGCTGCCAAGAAGTCCAATCCAAAAGGTCGAGAGTGGAATCCTCACAAGTTACACACAGAAATCTCCAACATGAACTGGAAGCAGAAGTCTCTCCCCTCACCACCATCAATGAAGAAGTCGGGCCCTCCTCAAGCAATTCAGAAGGAACCAACAGCTCTGCAATTCCTCTCTCGGTGCTCATACCAAAACTGCACCAAACAAAAGAGCAACCTGCTCAAGCTGAAGAGCAAGCGTGACTTTCCTTCCATCGCACCAACATAATAATTGGTTACATTTAGACATTTATCTCAATTATACCATTTCTAAACAACACTATATATTACTCCCTCTGTCCCGCTAACAATGGGACAAAAGGGAGTGACACGCAAACCAATAAAAATTGGTTTATGTGGTTGATATTGAATTGATAAAGTAAGAATAAAGTAAGAATGATTTAGAGCCACACAAACTTTGCCAAATTTGGTATGAGACAATCTTAGTGGGACGGGCCGATAAGGTAAAACGGGACAATCATAGCGGGACGGAGGTAGTAGTATATAATATACATACATTTATATATATATATATATATATATATATATATATATATATATATAGGATCAAATAAGAACATGATCTTAGGAGAGATAAGAATGGATCTGGACCGTTAGATTTGATTTAAGTGAAATTCAATGTGCATTAGATGAAACTGTGATGTGCATTAGTTAAAATTTGAAATGTGCATATAAAGAGTACAATACAGTGACATTATGTGAAGCTGAATTGTGCATTAGGTAAAATTGAAATGTGCACTACGTGAAACTGGAATGTGCAGAATAAAAAGTACGATGTGGTGTTATTTTTGTACCTTTTATTCCGCACATTTCGGTTTCACCTAATGCACACCTGAATTTAAATTTTTATTCTGCGCATTTCAATATCATCTCTTGCACATTTCAGTTTCACCAAATGCACAATTCAGTTCCACATAATATAATCCAACGATCCAGATTAATTCTCATTTTGCTCCCTATATAATTTGGCGCATTTAACTTTAACGAATTATTTGACTGCCTTCCCGGTCGAATTTTGAGGTGAAATTTGGTATGGATAAACTACACTTGATGAGGAACATTCTTAAAAAATTGCATCAAAAAATTCCACCGGAAAGTGCCCCAAATGGCGATGTTCGGACGACGTTCGGACATAAAGCTGCTGGACAGGATCATTCCTCTCTCTCTCTCTATCTCTCTCTCTCTCTCTCTATATATATATATATATATATATATATATATATATGTATATATATATATATATATATGTATACATATATATATATATATATATATATGTATACATATATATATATATATGTATACATATATATATATATATATATGTATACATATATATATATATATATATATATATACATATATATATATATATAATGCTCGGTTCAACAGTTCAGACAGGAGCCGTCGTCCGAACGCCGCCGTTTGGTGCGGTTCCCAGTAGAATGTTTTGATGAAATTATTTGATCATGTTCATCATCAAGTCTAATTCATCCAAAAAAATATTTTAGCTCAAAATTCGATCGGGAAGGCAGTCAAATAATTTTTTGAAGTTGATTGTGTTTCTATGTATAATTTGGCCAATTAACTTTAAAAATTTATTTGACTGTCTTCCTCATTGAATTTTGAGTTGAACTTTGTTATGGACAAATTAGACGTGATGAGGAACATGCTCAAAAAAATTCATCAAAACATTCCAAATGGGAACCACCTCAAACAACGGCGTTCGAACGGCGGATCCTATCCATCCTGCTGGACAAGATTATTCTTCTATATATATGTGTGTGCGCGCGCATATATATACACACACACATACATACATACATACATACATACATACATATGAGGGTGGGACTATGCCCTCCCTGGACCAGTGGACCTAACCCAGATCCGCCCCCTGGCCATCATATCAAACTACATAGTAGTTCGGTACAAAATTATATGATGTCAACAAATGGGTTTTTGTGGTGCATACAAGGCAATAAGTTACGACTTAGGAGGAGTGATAGTTGCAAGTGGAATTAATTTAATGTAGAAAACATTCTTTTTAGCTTTTCTAAAGCTAAAAGATAAAAAAGTGTTTTTTAAGATCTTGCAAACACAGCCTAGTGGAAGACCAAATCAAATAATTTGTGTGTGTGTCTATAGGGAAAGTTCAAATAAATAGACTTCTTCCCGTGCAAAGTGCGAATATATGCATTTTTCATGTTCCGCTTGCACTTTTTCGTGTTTCTGTTGCACTTTTTCGCGGTGGCGAAAAAGTGTGATTTATTTACGAAATTGTCACCGCGCTTTTGGTCGGATTTAGTGCATTCTTGGCTCATTTTGAGCCATTAGATGTGGAAATGAATGCACAAGATTCATTCTCACTTCACGTGTGAAGAGCTCTTTGTATTTGAACCATCCCCTATACACACACACACATACACACACACACATGTGTGTGTGTATGTGTGTGTATGTGTGTGTATGTGGAGTCTCGTTCGAGTCAGGAGCTCCTAACCGGAATCGCCGTGCGGAATTCACTGTTTGAGTGATTCTCAGTGGAATTGTTGGATGAGATTTTTTGAGCATGTTCTTCATAAATTTAGTTTATGCTCACCAAATTTCAGCTTGAAAATCAACCGAGAAGGCAGCTAACTAAATTATTGAAACATTGCGTCAAAATATACATATAAAAGCGCATTGTTTTTCAATAATTTAGTTAAATGCCTTCCTGATTGAATTTTAAGTTGAAATTTGGTAGACATAAACTAGACTTGATGAAGAACATGCTTAAAATTTTATCAAAAAATTCCATGGGAAACGATCCCTAACATTGAATTCCGCACGGCGGTTCCGGTTAGGAGTCCCTCCCTCCCTCCCTCCCTCTCTCGTGTGGTATAGAAATTCAACGCATTAGCTCATGTGGTTTAAGAAATGCATCAAACCCCATGTATTACAACTAATCGTGCGCAGAATCCTTTCTATTAACAAATTTAATTTTCAAGTAATAGAAAAATAATTAACATGTTAGTATAATTTAAAGATTTTTACAAATTTACTTACATATTCAATCATAATATTAAGAAAATGATTTTCAAATTATTATTAAATGTATTTATAATTATCCAAGAAAGTTTGACACGTTTTTTAAATCGCAAGAAGCTAATCCGCTGAATTTCTATATTACGAGCTGAGGGGATTTCGTGCATTAAACCCAACTGCAACAATAGTAATACTAGGGATGGACCGAGCCCAGGTTGACTGACCTGTTGACCGACCTAGCCCGCTACTGTTCTGAACCGGCCCAAACCAGTAGGCCGAGACCAGGGGTCCGGGACCTGGCCTTGGGCCCGAATCAGGCCAAAAATTAATTTTTATTTTATTTTTTCAACGGGATTGGGTCATTTCATTTGGGTGTTAGGCGAGTGGGGCTTTGTGGTTTGGGGGAGAGTTTGCGGGGTAGGGGGTGGGGTGGGTAGGAATAAATAAGAAAAACAAAAAAAATTATATATATAACCCAACCCGATCCGACCCAGGCCCAGCCCGGTCCGGTATCGGGCCTCCAGTTCCTGAACCCAATCCCACCCATAGCCTTGAAACTATTAGTTTTTTTTGGACCATAAAGGTAAGGTAAGGCACTAAGGTGTTGGGAGTTGTGACCGATAACAGATGATGGCACGGTATACCTAAATGTAGGGGTGGACTCGGGCCGGGCCAACCGGCCCGGAACCGGACCGGCCCGCTACTGTGCGGGCCCGGCCCGGCCCGGCCCGGTGAACCGGTTATGGGCCCGGTTCGGGTCAACCGGCCCGGTGGGATGGCGGTTCGGGCTCGGGCCCTTCAAAAGGTGAACCGGGCCGGGCCAACTTTTTTTTTTTTGAATTTTTTTTAAGTTTTTGGGTTGGGTATTTTGGGCCATTTGTGGTGGTTAGGGTTGGTTTGGGGTGAGGGGGAGGGTTGGGGGTTAACTAGGAAAAGCCAAAAAAAAAAAATAGAACTGAGGCCCGGCCCGGACCCGGGTATTACCCGGGCCGGTTCCGGGCCTCCCCTTCTTGAACCGAGGCCCGGCCGGGCCCGAACTGGAACCGGTCCATGCCTACCTAAATGGCTAAACTTTTATTTCATATTCTTACGTTTTCAAAAGTTTTGAGATATTCCCTTCATCCCATTTAACCTATCTTTCATTTTTAGGATTGTCCCATAATAAATCACATTTTCTTTTTTTAGAAAGACATGTGATCCATAACATTTCGTTTTATTATACTCAAATATGAACAATAACTTTTACCTTTTCAACCACTTTATTAATATTTATGCCAAACCAAAAGAAAGACACATAAAATGTTTTTTTTAAATAGATGAGAAGGTAGTATTAAAAACTATATTTATATCTTTTCAACACATGATATCAGTATTATGTTTAGGCCAAAAGGCCAAATTATCTAAATTTTGAAACATTGATGGAATGCGCATCACTGCAGCAGTCAGAGTTATCTAGGGTGATAGTTTTAAGTTTTAACTTAAGAAAACAGCTATCTATTTTGAAAAACATTAAAAATGAAGTTCCTAATTATATGGTGAAATACTGAAACAAAAGACATTTGTGAACTGTCATCTGTTCTAAATTTGAAAACAGATGAAATAAACATGTTTTCTATTTTCCATACAAAAATTACAGGGTATTACAGTTCTCTAGTTTTTTTTAATTCAATTAGTAAACGTCCCCGTAATGAAATTGTCCTATATGGAGGGGGGGGGGGGGGGGGGAGAAACTGTTACAAAACCTGAAAGGGGGGACATTAATCATGACCAAAACTGCTTACTGTACAATGTGTGTAGGAGGGGACGAATGGATCATCATCATCATCATCATTAGTGCAAGTATTAATGTTTGACACCCACAAAGCATAACCCCACCTCAGCTTGGGCCTGCAGCTCTTCCAGTACTTTGACAAGTTTCTCCCTGCACATTGCTGTTTCAGTTTGACCCAACATCTTCCTGACTCTTCACATGCAAAAGAAACAGGAAACCTGATTATTTACTACTAAAGTACTAATACTGTTATTATATTAGACGAGTAGCGGTTATGCCCAAGAATTTCAACAAACGCAAATCAACATTCATAAATCCACATGAAAAGTTTTACGCCATAATAAAAGCTTCTATAGTTCTACTCTATAAGACTATAATAAACTGCAACCATCCAGCCTCCTGGGAGTGGTTCTGGACCTTCTGGGGGATGCTCTGGGAGCACTTAGCTTTCAATGGTGGCCACTGGCCAGGGCCGAGAGTATTGTGTAATTTACTATTACCTCTTTAAAGAAGCTTGTGGGACCACTTGAGCGGTTCAGTCAGAGCACTAAGTCTATGTTTGGTGTGTTTTAAGATACTATTACCTCTTTAAAGAAGCTTTTCAGTAAAATTAATTTGATAAGCTTCAGCTTATTTGATAAGGTTGCTTACTTGATCAGTTTCTTATGAGTAGTTTTCAAAATAAGCTAATATTCTTTATGAGTAGTTCCAGCTCGACCTCTCTCTTTTTCTAAAAGAATTTTAAAATTGCAGTATACATCATTTTATATTTCTAAATTAGTCTGTTAACTAATTTTTACTCAACACAATAACAGATCAACTAGCATATCAGCTATCATTTATTTTAGATGGCTTATCAGCTTGTTTTTACAAAACTAGCCTAAGCGGTCAGATCTCCTAAAGCATCAGTTTTTTTCTCCAGTTGTTCAACCTAAGATATTACACCAAATATCTTACACACAGATGCAAATGCTCAAAGACGCACTGAATAATTCAGTTTAATATTTAACAGATTGGAATAAGTAACAATATACCGTTGAATTATGTGACAGAGAGCATGTACACCCCTTAAAGTTAGGACAACTAAACACAAAGTTGGAACAAATATACCCTTGATTAATATATTATAGAACATATTTACCCTTAAAATTGGGACAACTAAACACAAAGTTGAGGAGCATACTGTTCTCTGATATATTGTTCACAGCATATATATTCCTTCTCTTTCATCAGATTCAACAAAAAAATTATACCCTACCATACAAGATTTCATCACAAGAATCATTTCAAATTTACCGTTGAACAATTGCAGTGTTTCCATGACCAGTGCAAATAATAAGCATGGCATTTTGAGGTAGATTGGCATAGAGGTTTTTAACCCTGGTATCCATGCGGTTCAGAATGGTCTCCAATTCAGGTGTGATGTCATATTTGATGCCTTTTTTGTTTGAAGCCTTCCTGATCTCACACGTTAGCAGTGATATCATCTGAGCTAATTTCCTATTCAGCTTCTCTGCATCATCTGATTCTTTCTTGAAGTAGGAATCCAATTCGGAAAACTGGGTCCATATAAAATGCACCTTACGATTTCTCACCTGCAAAGGCAACAAAACAGGGAAAGGAAAAAATTACATTAGATATGCAGTGTACATCCTTGTCATTTTACGTGTAAAAAAGATGAAATCCTCATTTACCTACCTCTTTATTGGCTTTTGAAAGAGCTTCATCATCAGACGACACTGCAATTGAATGGGATGACTCAGAAGCGTACTTCTTCACTACGGATATACTGTCAATTATGGAAGAGGTTTTTCCAGAGTCACTCAAAACTGTGAGGAGTTTCTTCCGCATAAAAGTTGATCGCGGTGAACCAAAATCAGGTCCTAGTTCCAGATTATCAAAACAATAATTATGATAAAATTCATAATGCAATTTCTATAAGATCAGCCCATGAGAGAGAGGCCCTTCAATATCTTTCATTTCAAACCAAACAAGACATAATAACTCTCACTTCGCAATTCTCTATTTGATTGTTGGTGTCCATAAAAGATGCTCTATATTGAATTGTAATAATATGCTAAGAACCAACCAGTTGGTGAAGGGCTATCAAGAAATAATCTAAACATATTTTTGTTATTTATCAAGTTCAATAGATTGTAATCATTGTATAGTTAAATATTTATGTACTTAACAATCTAAGACTTTAATGCATGTGTCTTGTTATAAATACTACCTATGTTCTTTATTAGTGGCAACACTTTGACATTCACATTTTCAAAACCATAACTTTGACCATTAACAACTTTATATTGAATCCCAGATCGATGGTACCAATTTACTATTCATTAGTCAACGCATTTCACTTTTGATCCCTAAATTTGTGCATCAGTTTTTATCATATTCAAATTTAATTTTGCGATTCAATATGACTTTTAATGTAATTTCTAAATTTTAACTTTTAATTCTAATTGTGATACTGTTGGGGAGAAGTAAACTTTTTCATCAGTCAAACCTAAAAATCTGCAATGGGGTAACATTTTGTGATGGAGTGAGTAATATATTTTATAATGTGATTGTTTAATACATTAATAGCAAAAGTCGAAGTGTTGGAACCATTAAATAACGGAGATAGTACTCAATGATTTACAAGTTGTCAAAAGCTCAATGGTTTATACTACCTATAATAGAAAGATAGCATCAATTAGTCCACATTCCGTGTAGTATTGTAGTGTATATCTATTATTAACTTAGGATTCTTCAATATAAAAGTACACAGATAAAGCAATATAATTTCAGCATAAAGTACAACAAAATGCCTCAGCATCTACCTGTCAAGGCGGCTGACCAAGTTTTTCCTACTATCATAGCAGCAACAGCAACATTCAAGCCTTAGTCCGAAAAGAGTTATAATTAATTTTCTTTTTGTCTATAAACACTTTTGTAATTTGAACTCCATTAAGTTTTTCCGAATTTATCAATTTATACTACGTATATCATTTCACGTCTTACTATTTTGTGGACCCATACTACTTTTTTTCTTTTAGAAGGTTAAACAATTGTAAAGTAACAACTATCTCCTTTATTTTCCTAAAACGCATGCTCAACCCAAATCACCACATGCATCTTGAATTCTGACATGGAGGGAGGAGTAATACATTACACAAGTTTTGCAATAACAATGTAAAATATCATGCTACACTAGGCACAACTTGATACCATCTTATGTACATTGTATATAAGAAAAACAAAAAAAAAACATACCGTTTTGAATCTTAAGCAGGGCCAGTTCCATTGCAGCTCTTGCATCTTCAACGCTATCATGCCCATTTACAGAATCTTGGATCTCCCTCCCAAGAAACTTCCTGCTCAGAACACGAAGTGCAGTTTTGTATGATCTTCCTTTCGGGTGTTTGTACAATACGGCAGTGTCAATTACCAAATTGTGAATTATCTTTAGAGCTGACAAATCATTCTCTAAGGAATGCCCAATCAGAACAGTCTCTTTATTGACCAGTTGTAGAAAATCCTCCTGAAGACATGTACAATGGTTATTAACCCCCCAAGAGAATATAATACAAATAATGGTGTTTTTCATGCCAAGCTGGCTAGAAGTTAAGGAACTCTATTAAACAAAAGTTTACAGTTATGTGAAAAACTTCTTTTACAACAACAAATGAGAACCAAGATAAGTGTCTCCTTTCCTTTTTTGGAAAGAAATATGTGGCCTACAACATTTCACTTAATTATACTCAAATCTCAACCACACTTTTACTTTTTCAACCACTTTATTAATAATCGTGCCAAGTCAAAGTGAGACACATAAAATGGGACGGAGGTAGTAATTATGTGGCAAAAGGCCCTGTTACTGAACCTGAATATCTTTAAGAGTAGTCATCACCCCATTCATCATCTCAGGAGTAATTCCACTGTACCTGAAAAAAATTATAATTTTTGGACTATAAGAATCATGCTACAAATACAGTGGCACTATTGAACACCTTACACCTCAATAGACTCCTACTCGATAGAATATGACCATCATATGTTTTTATAAGAAATGCAGTATAGAGTGTTAAGAAGTTTCTTAATTCAAATAGTAAACTAATGAAAATTATCCTCGTAAGAAAAACATATAAATGTACAAGAAGAAAAGGTTTTCAAGAACATACCTTGTATTATAATCAGTAATCTCATTTAGTGGCTTAACCAGTTTATCTAATACAACCTGCAATATGTTGACAAAATTCATTAATTAAACAGAACTATAGGATCCGATGATTAGAAGAAGCTTTTTCAGAAATCGTGTGTTAGAAAGAGAGAGAGAGAGAAAGAGAGAGAGAGATCTAGAGAGAGAGAGAGACAGGTATTGAATGCTAATAGAAATACCTCATGAGATTCAACTGTATTAGTATTTATAGAGTTAGTTGTTCTAAGTTCTTCTAACAGACTTAACAACCAACCGAGGCACTATTAAGCAGTATGACGTATGCTATTCTAATACAAGGCTTTTAGTCTATTACAAGATGTATATCTAACATTCCCCCCTCAAAACTAGAGTGATTAGTTTGAAGACTCAGTCACACTGAGTTTTGTTTTTAATTCAAGAAATCTGGAGCTGGAAAGTGGTTTGGTTAGAATATCAGCTATCTGGTGAAGAGAGGGAATGTGATAGACTTCAAGTTGTTTTAGAAGAACTTTCTCCCTGACAAAGAAAAGATCAATCTCCATCTGCTTGATCCTGGAATGCAACACAGGGTTGTGAGCTAGTTGAACAGTACTTAAGTTGTCACAGTACACTTTAGGAACAGAAAATGGAACTTGAAGTTCTTTTAAGAGAAACTGAATCCATAGAAGTTCTGCTTTAGTATCTGCAAGATTCCTATACTCTGCTTCTGTGGAGGATCTTGCAACACGAAGCTGCTTCCTTGACCACCATGAAACAACATTGGTTCCAAGAAGTATACATGAACCTGATGTGGATTTCCTGTCATTTGGATCAGATGCCCAGTCAGCATCACAGTAGGCTGATATAGGTAGAGACATTGTGGATAAGGGAATAGGTTTGATAACAATTCCATGTTAGACAGTGCCAGAGAGGTATCTGAGAATGTGTTTCACTGCCTGCCAGTGCTCCTGCAGTGGTTCAGCCATAAATTGGCATACTTTGTTGACAGCATAACAAATATATGGTCTGGTCAATGCATACTGTAACACTCCAACAATAGATTTGTAATGAGAAGGATTAGGAAGATAGTCATTGCCTTGCTTCAGAAGTTTGCAAGTGCTCACCATAGGTGTTTTAACCCCTTTAGAATCTAGCATTCCAGCTTGATTTAAGATATCCCTGATATATTTAGCTTGAGAAAGATGAAGAATGCCATTAGAGAGCTTGCGTGCCTCTATTCCTAGAAAGAAATCAAGATCTCCCATATGTTTGAGTGAAAAAGGGGAGTGAAGTTTGTGAATCAGTTGTTTGATGGAATTAGAGTTCTTTCCAATGACTAAGATATCATCAACATAGATAAGAATGTAGATTTGAATTCCAGAAGACAGAAAAATCAGTAAAGAGGGATCAGATTTGCTTTGTTTGAAGCCAGCATTGTAGAGAACTGAAGTGAGTTTGTGAAACCAAGCTCTATGAGCTTGTTTAAGGCCATACAATGATTTATGGAGCTTACAAACTAAAGATGTGTCCTCAACTTGGAACCCTGGAGGCTACACCATGTAAACTTCCTCATCTAATTCACCATTTACGAATGCATTGTTTACATCTAGTTGTTGGATGGACCAGTTGTGTGAAATAGCAAGGGTTAGAAGAATTCTGATAGTGACGCTTCACCACAGGAGAAAATGTTTCCCCAAAATCAAAACCATACCTCTGATGAAAACCTTTAGCTACCAATCTGGCATTGTATTTGTTGAGAGAGCTATCAGGATTTTCTTTGACCCTGTAAACCCACTTACAGCCAATAGCTTGTTTATCTGGGGGAAGAGAAACAAGAGACCAGGTTCTGTTAGCAATCAAAGCATTGTATTCACTTTTAATGGCTTCAAGTCAATGAGAGGGCCTGTTTGACTGATTTAGGCTCAGTATGAGTTAACAGTAAGGTAGGATGAAGTCTTGGTTTTACTATTCCTGACTTAGCCCTTGTCCTCATAGGATGTGTGTTAGTCAAAGGAACTGAAGAAACTGGAGTGATAGGGGGAGAAGATTGTTGAAAAGAATCAGGAGGACCAGAGTTTTGTAATGTGGGAGATGAGGAATCAGATGATTCATGAGGATCAGATTGACTTTGTTCATTAGAAACATTTGGAGATGGATGTTGAGATGAAACTGACGGAGAACCAGGAGGATTGTGTGAAGTAGGTGGAAAGGAATGAATACTTATAGGGACAGAAATGGGGTTTGGACTGATAGGTGAAGTAGATGGATTAGATGAGAACAAAGTAGGTGGAAAGACAACATCCCTAGAGATATAGATCTTTCCAGAAGGGGACAAACATGTATAGCCTTTGTGACTAGGTGAGTGACCTAGGAAAACACACTCCTCAGAATGAAAGTCAAGTTTATGTTTATGATATGGTCTAGTGAAAGGGAAGCATGCACAACCAAATACTTTGAAGAAGGAGTAATCTGGGACAAAATTATACAGTGTGAAGTATGGACTTGAATTAGAGATGGATTTGGAAGAAGTTCTGTTAATTAGATGAACAGAGGTAGAAAAGGCTGCATCCCAAAATTTAAGAGGTAAAGAAGAGTGAGATAAAAGTGATGGACCTTTTTCAACAATGGTACGATGTTTTCTTTCCACAACACCATTTTGATGGTGTTTGTGTGGACAAATGACTCTGTGAATGATGCCTTTTCCCTGATTTTTTAGTGAAGGATCTAAATTCACCCCAGTCAGATTGAATGGATTTGATTGAGACAGAGAATTGATTAAGAACATTCTGAGAGAAGTTAGTAAATGCTGTAAGAGCATCTGATGTTCTTTTGAGAAAGTAGATCCATGTATATTTAGTAAAGGCATCTAAAAAGGCTATGAAATAGGAATACCCATCAAAAGAACAAATAGGAGCTGGTCCCCAAAGATCAGGGAAGATTAATTCAAAAGGTTGATGATAATCAGTAGTGGAAGTATAAGAAGGCAAACTGTGGGCCTTACCCATGCAACAGGCAGAACAGAAATCAAGTGCACTTTTATTGATATAAGAGACCTTACAATGTTGAAGTACAAGTTTAAGAGCCTCAAAATGAGGATGGCCAAGTCTTAGGTGCCAAAGATTACAAGACTGAGAAGGACTACAAGACTTATCATTATAACATGTAGACAATAATGCACTAGACTTAGTATTGTGTGCAGATGACATAGTGGATCAACTGGAAGTTGCAGAAGATTGATGTAGACCAAGAGAGTGGATCTGCATTGACATGGTGAGTAGCTCCAGAATGTGGAGGAGGTCCTAAAATGGATGTATTTGCACTGGCACAAGCAGCAGTAGGATGGTGTTGTGCAAGAGTAGATGATGGATTATAAGAATGTTGGGGTGGCTGATCCCAGTTGAACTGTTGTTGAGCAGAAGATAAAGGATAATTGGAAGGAGGTCTTGGTGAAAAAGGATGAGTGTACATGAGTGCATGATGACCGGTTTTTCCACAGACTTGACATATGATAGGGCTTCGTCCTCCAGATCTACCACCTCTTCCTCTTGGAAAACCTCCACGACATCTGCCTCTGTAAGAATTATCATTATTACCAGTGTTATTGAATTGAGCAACTTGAATCGAAACATTGTCAAAGATATTTTCATCAGTTGAACGAGTATTTGGAGCTGAAATATCCAAACGAGCAACATTTGCAGACAAAAGATTCTGCTGAGATGATTCATGAAGTTTTTGGAGTCACATCTCTTTGGCAGACAAAAGAGATTCAACTTCAGACAAAGTTGGAGGATCGAGAATACTTCGAGAGGATATTGATGAGGCCAGAGATTCATATTCTTCGGGTAAGCCTTCGAGGATCACATTAATGTGATCCTTAGGGGATATCGGTTCTCCAATTGATAAAAGATTGTCCGCAATTGTTTGAATGCGAAGGAGATATTCAGAGATGGAACGATCACCTTTCGCAGTGTTGTATAGCTCGGATTTTAATTGTCTGGCTTTTGCGAGGATGCTTGATTGGAAGAAGGTGTTGATCGCACTCCATAGCTCATATGAATGTTTGCAATGAATAACACGAGCGTGAAGTGGTTCAGATAGCGACGCGAGTAGCCACGAGAACATCATTTGATCTTGTTGCTCCCAGGCAACATAGGCTTCATTCATCGTTCCTGCTGCTTCATCTTCGTCGGAGATGAATTGCTTTGGAATTTCTGGTTTGACAATGAACCGAAGGAGTTTGTGTGCTCGAACAACAGATTCTACATGATGTTTCCAGAAGATGAAGTTGTTAGTATCAAGCTTGAGTGGACGCGGATGTGCGAATGTTACTAGAGCTAGGTAGTTAACTCGGTACTCGGTAGTAACTCGGTCAAGGACCGAGTAGCGAGTAGGGCCGATTACTCGGGATTACTCGATGATTACTCGGCCTTATATTAATTAAATTTAATAACATAAGTGCCAGAGATTATAGAAATATAATAGTCTTAAAATTATCTTAAAATGCATAGAAATGAATAAAATGATAGAAATGCTAATGATGGAGTAACAAAAGTCATAAACATTCTAAGTTTTCAAGAAAATCAATCATCTAATAATTTCGTAAGATCTATGTTCTCTCCCCAAGTCCATCCTACAATATCTGATTTTCTCTTAAGTGTAGTATTAGCATATTCAGCCTCATTAGACTGAGCAGAGCTCATGATTGTTAATTAGATGATGTGTGACGGTGTTTATCAATCAATGATGTGCCATAGTAAACAATATAGTGATATTAATTAAAAGTTACGTAGTATAATATATATAGTCATACTAGTGAAAAGAATTTATTTATATCAAAATATATGTGTGTTGATACTTTAAAATAAAAAACAACTGAAGGATGGGAGGGTGGAAGAAGAAGAAACGAGAGAGGGGAGAGGGAATGATACGGGAAAAAAGATGACAACTTATTGAGAAATTGTAGTCACGGCTCTAGGGGGATAGTAGATGTCAAAAATTCCGTTCAATCTAGGTTTTGTAACTTAATTTTTTAATTTTTTAAGGGGGACCGAGTTAGATCGAGTAACTCGCCGAGTTGAGAAACTCGCTGAGTACTCGGCGAGTAACTCGGAAATAAAACACGGACCGAGTTAGGTAGCTACTCAACAAGGTCAGTACCCGAGTTGCGAGTGCTCGCCGAGTACTCACCGAGTAGATAACACAGTACTAGAGATGTGGAATTTGTGGAGGTTGCAATAGCAGAGGAAGAGTTCGATGTGGTATCTGTGATCGCCATTGATGGATCGAGCTAGAGCTCTGATACCATATTAAAAAGAGAGAGAGATAGACAGGTATTGAATGCTAACAGAAATATCCCTTTAGATTCAATTGTATTAGAATACAAGTATTTATAGTGTTAGTTGTTCTAACAGACTTAACAACCAACCGAGGCACTATTAAGCAGTATGACGTATGCTATTCTAATACAAGGCTTTTAGTCTATTACAAGATGTATATCTAACATCGTGTGAAGGGTTAATAATAGATCGGCTAGTATGGACCACATGGCCCACATCTTGATTTGCAAGATAGATGGCCCAGTAGTTTCTTGTATTTTGTATAGAATTGACAGATGATTATGCACGTAGAACGACAAAAAGGTTCAAGGCACTGCCACACTGCACAACTTTTTAAATTAGAAAATTTAGAAGGAAATTGTACAAGAAGTTCTCCTAGAAATATTCTTGTTATTGCTTCTACTCATATTCCTCAAAAAGTAGGTCCCGCTCTAAAAGCTCCGAAAAGGTTGAATACGTGTATTAAATTACGAAGGCTTGTTAATCCACAAAAAAGACAGTGAGTGCCCCAAAACATGACTCATATCTCAAAGAACAGTGAGTGCCAGATTGTCCGAGGTTCACAGAAATTAGCCCTAAAAGCTAAAAACATGACTCAATGCTTTCTGCTTTAAAGTCACAAGAGGAAGAAGGATGAACAAGTAATCCAGTAGAGAAGAGATGGGTCGAGCACAGTCAAAATGGCATTCTAGTAGAGAGCAGATCGGGCAAAGAGTAAAGATCTAATGTTTTAGGATTCTAGTTAGATTCAACTCCTTCTAATTTAACTTAAATCAGCCTAGATTTTAAAATTAATAGTAAACCTTGTTGGGCCAAACTCTGGAGGGGGGGTTCAAAAGTGAACTGTCTCGTCTGTGCAGATTAATAGAGGCATAACCCTGAAGGCGTGTGCTTCACCTGAGTGAGCGGGTGTGGTAATGTGGTGTTTGGTTCTCCATGATAGAGAGAAATGGAAGGCTCAAGGTGATTTTATAGCTCTTCGCATCGAGGCGCGTCTAAAGGAATAGCCTTACTACTTTTCAAAACTGTGCTTCAAGGCATAGAATTCAAAACAACCTAAAAGTCATCCGCCTTTCCACTGGCATTTTTTACATGAACTGAGCAAAGCACTAGAAGTAGTTATGTGTGTTAGGTACTGTTACTGTTGCAAAAGTAAGGGTATTGATTAATAATTTGGAAGTCATAGCATATCTGTACTTCTAAATGGACCGAGTCTTTTTAAATCCATACCCTTGGTCAAAGGAAAATAAAAACTGAACCATCAGATTGGATCTTGTTTTTCTTTTCAAACATCCTAAAAGAGTTTCCAGTTTCCTAAAAGGACAACATATTATTACACTTCAAAGTTCAGGAGACTCGTAGTTCATTATCCGCTTTTGTTAAAATAACTGTCTTTTAAGCTAACCCAACAAAATTGCCTAGTCAGGTCCTTTACATTAAGACTTAAGAGACATCAGGAATGTAAAGGTAAAACAACATATTCATTTGAGACGGAAACTCTTGTAGAGTACTGGAGTATGAGCCTTTCAGTTCACCAGCAATATTGGAAAGGAGAGAATACACATCAAAGAAACAGTTAAGCAATATGAATAATTACCCTATGTTCATATGTATCAAAATAAGTAGCAGGATAGATGGGTTCGACAATACCTGCCCTTTAAAATCTACCAGTGTGACTCTAGTGAGCTCAAATCCTTCTTTTGTAATACACTGTAAATTTTTAAATAAATAAGAGTGGTAAGATGTACCAAATTCTTAAGGATAATGTATATGTGTTATCACTGTTATGTAAGCATCAGTCACCCCTTCCAACCAGAAAAGGATCCACACAATAAAAAAGAAAATGGTGCTCTATGATACATAATATGAATCCAGTTTAGTTCATTACTATAATACGACTAGCCATGCACAAATAGTGATGGATATGAAAAATACAAAATGAATAAATGTAAAAAACAATGTTTAAATGAAGTGTGAAACATAATACTTTTATTCTTATTGTGTGTTCTCAAATGATTGTACAAGGTGTAAAAATAGCTACAAGTAGGGCTAACTGTACAGAATGGGCTCAGCCTAATACACCTAGACTTAGGGTTTCAAGACAAAAAAGGGTAAGTTGTTGAAAAATACACCAACATTTAATGTTTTAAGCTTTAAAAAATGTCAAGTCTTAGACCCTTAACAACAACTAAAAAACATGACATTTCAAAAAGTGTATTACATCATCCGTCTATTTTCTTAGGTGGCCCTAATCTTAGCGCAGCTGGGGCTGGACACAACAGCATTAAACCTCATCGAGGATATGACCTTTCAATTGCTTTGGAGACGCTGAATGAGGGTAGTAGATTCTTTGTATGGATCGAGAGAAACCAGTGTTTGAAGGTTGGGGGCTTCTTGGGCCTCTTATTAGAAGTGTGTGATTTGGGCATTAGCTAGTAGTTTGCTTGCTTACCTATTTGCTGGCCTTCTTACATTCTTTTTATTTTACTGCCCCTTTGAAGTTGTTTTATATTATACTCCCTCCGTCCCACTAACAATGGGACAAGAGAAAGTGACACACAAACCAATAAAAAGTGGTTTATGTGGTTGATATTGAATTGATAATGGACAATCTTAGTGGGACAGACCAAAAAGGTAAAATGAGACAATCTTAACGGGACAGAGGGAGTACTATACTAATTGCTTGTCACGCTACCTTTCATCTTTGGTTATATTTTTCTAATTCAAATCTTTATTTTTTAGAGAAAAGTGTCAAATTGGCCCTTCTACTTTGTACGAAAAGTCAATTATGCCCTCGTACTTTAAATTTTTTCAATTAAGTCCTCCTACTTTGAAAATCTCGTCAAATCCGGTTTTTAGCAGGTAACCTACCGGTCAGCAGGTTACCTGCTGACGTGGCGCACACGTGGCCTGACACAGCACACACGTGGCAGACCACGTCACTTTTTTATTTTCTTTTTCATTTTTCTTTTCTTTTTCTTTTTTTCTTTCCTTCCTTCCCCCATTTCCCCTTTCGCAAACAGGTCATCTTCTTCCTCAAGACCTGCAAACCGTCCATGCAATCTTGCTGCCACCTTCTTTCTTCTTCCTTTAATTCTCTTTCTCGTTCCCCTTTCTTCCTTTCTCAATCAATGACCGGCAAGGGAAAAAAGATTAGTGTTTATTTGGAGATTAATTTTTGCTCATAACTCCAATGTGGCTTGTTTTTGTTTTTATTTTGGACCCTAGATTGGAGTTCTATGGAAAGGGACGACGCTCCGTATCAATTTTGAGCAGCTGAAACGAGTTCTTGAGGTTGGTTTGTAGCTCGCCGGCGTTTCTCATTTTCGGACTACTCCGGCATGTTTTCCCGACGGTTTTACGGCTTGGCACAAAAAATAGAATACGCAACGGAGGTCATCGTGAACCGGGGCATCTCCTCGTATTTTTAGTTTAATTTTCCGAGCATCCTTCATTTGGGCGACTTTTGTTCACCGGCGACATCACTGCTGCGCAAAAGAAGAAAGGTCACTTGGGAAAGAAAAGAAAGAAGAAAGGAAAAAGAAGAAAAAGAAAATAAAAAAGGGACGTGGGCTGCCACGTGTGTACCATGTCAGGCCACGTGTGCGCCAACGTCAGCATGTAACCTGCTGACCGGTAGGTTACCTGCTAAAAATCAGATTTGACGAAATTTTCAAAGTATGAGGACTTAATTGAAGAAATTTAAAGTACGAGGGCATAATTGACTTTCCGTACAAAGTAGGAGAGCCAATTTGACACTTTTCTCTTTTTTTAAAGTTCATTGAATTTTTTAAATTTGTATCATCTTCTGAACTGGGCTCGCAAGTTTTCGCTAGCTAGGAAAAAATTTCTCTACTCCTTGGGGGTAGAGGGGTAAGGTTTGTGTAAAGCTAATCCTCCTTGGACACGGACACAGACCCATTCTTGAGTGGGACATACTGGGTTAGTTTGGTTTGGTTTTAGAAGATAAAGAAAACTCGGATCATCCTTTAAAGTTGTGCAATGCCTCTATGCAATATAAGGCATTGGCATGCCTTGTGATTTCTGAGAATTTTCCGGTATATGGCTTATCCTAAAATAGGCAATAATGAAAGTTATGTTTTTTACCTAAGGTGTACACAATGTGGCTAGTTCTGAAGCGTACACAATATGGCTAGTTCTGAAGCGTGTGCCATAGCCTAGATCTGGTATAAGCATATAGGAGAGGTGGGCTGACTTCCGAAACTTAGCCTAAAGCCTCAAACCAAACTTGTATAAGTGTATTAAAATTACATATGTAAGTTTTTTGTTCGCGATAACTTACTGCTTGATAGAAACCAGAAAATTACTGTATATTAATTCTGGAAAACTGAGTACATAAGCTAATACAATGGCCGATGATGGAAAGTGTCGTGCAAAGAGAACGGAAAGAAGAAAATAAACGATAGAGACACTTCGAGTAGTCTCAACACTCCCAAGTCCCAATCCAGATCCAAAGTTCTGCCTCCCCTCTCCCTCTTCTATTCCCTCTATTTATTCCTTTCCCAATGAGGCTTCCCTCAATCTATCTAATTACTTGGCCCAACCCACTATTACAGTTTATTAAAATATTAAGCCCATAGGTCCATGTCTCTATCATCACTCCCCCCTTTGACAACCACCTTGTCCTCAAGGTGGGGAGTATGAGCAGCCATGCCATCCAGCTTCATCTTCGTGCCCCTTCCTTCCCAGTACCTCCCAGATTTTCGGACCCTTAGCTCCCGTACTTGAAGATGCGTCTTCATGTTCTTCATTGCAAGAAGGAGCAGAAGCAAAGTCCTGGTGGCAGAATGCTCCCTGATGTTGCAAAAGTTTGAATCTCCCAGCGTCTGCATCTCCTGTTGTATCATTTGCTTCTGTTCCAACATCTTTTCAAGAGAATTTACCTCACTTTGGTCAAGACCTTGAACAAGTTCAAAAGGCTCTGATCTGAAATCCCCGTTATAATAACACCTCAACATCTTCCCAGGGATCCAACCATACTCAAAACTTTTATGCAAGCCATTGGAAAAACTCAAACCGTAATTTATGTATACTTCTGTTAGCCTCTTCAATGTACATCTTGTCACCAGTAAAGATGTGTCTCTAAGTCTCTCACCAACAAGCTTCATTCTTTCAGAATCCTGCAGATAAGGATGAGTCTCTCCAGCAATTGCAGCAGCTTGTCTTTGTTGACGCTCATGTAAGTGAATCACTATTATCAGACAAACAATGAGAGTAAGTATTGGAGTACTTCCTTCTTCCATTAGCACATCCTCAATCTTGAACTCCATATTTTTCTTCTCTATGAAAACAGTTCTTGTATCAATGTAAATCTGATTTGCAAGCTTGGACAATGACTGTCTGGTCAAGTCTACCAATTCACCTCTGTAAGTGAGTCTTCCCGCAGGCCCGACTCCTGCATCAATGAATAATTTGAGTGCCTTCCAGACATCATGTTTAGGCTTATCAGGTCGGGTATAAAGTGATGAATCCCAGGCAGGTATAGAAACTGGATTTCCAGTATAAGCCATCCACCTAAAACCAACAACAAGAGTTCCAATGCCCAGGTTTCCCGTTCCCGAACAGCCCCTAGCAACAGGGTTTGTGACAATATTACAACCCCTTTCTAAATCTGCTTCACTACAACAGTGTATCTGAGCTGCTGGTAGGACAGTAACCACTCTAGAGCTGCACCTCACAAGATGAACAACTGATCTGAACTTCACATGAAGTGAACAAGAGTGAAATCTCACGTGGTAAAACCGAACAATAGTTAGAACATCAACACATATTATCAACAATGGCCAACTATTAGCAATTTCATCCATATTTTGCTTTGACAAAATTGGATTGGGTGAACTTTGCATGAATGGAACAGTACCATCCTGCTTGGAAACTAAATTTTGAGCACCACCAGGTTCTTCCACATTCCAAACTTGGAAACCATAGCATAAAAGCAAGACTTGGCGGTTTGTACCTCCCTCAACATTACTGGTAAGTGTCCTTCTTTTCAATCCTTCCACCCCATACTGAGGTTTGTACATACAACCTCCTTTTTCCTTCCATCCCCTCTTGTCTTCATCTCTAAATTTCAGTACTGTGCCTACCCGTTCAAAGCTAAACATTAGCGCAAATGAATTTTGAACCCATTCTGGTTGAGTCATGTTAACTGCTTCCTTCACAGGTTCCCAGGTATAAGCAATTGTCTGCTCCTTTCCCCACGGAAACCTATTCAGTTCTTTCTCTTTCATTGTGATCACAGTAGACTCCCTCTTCTCCTCATCTGTATTAGTTGTGACTTTTATCTGATCTTCCAGTTGCCTATGATTGACAGTAACTTCATCTTTGCCAGGGTCACCCATATCACCCATCGACAGCAGCTTGGTCTCCAGAGAAGAATTACCAGCTTCTCTAGGAGAATTTTGCCCTAGATTGGCGACCCTCAGATCATCCTCAGCACTGTTAGGAAGAACTCTCTCTTCGCTATTAATTCCCTTAATAGTAGCAGTATTCGAGGTAGCTTGAAACTCGTCTACCTGTCCTGTGACAGTAGTGGCTTCCTGCTGAGCTAAGCCTATAGAAATTTCAGGAACCACTTTGTGCTCCAGTTCAGTAGTATTTGAACCAGCACTTTTCTTAGCAGCCAATTTATATTCCATGGCAATCGAGGGTGGAGTCACCACAGAAAATTTCTCCTCTCGTTCCTCATC